CTATCCAACTAACACTAGATGAAACGTTAAAATTATTGATATACAAATAAGTTTATAATATATTGACAAGGTGTTTAATCATCTATTTCACACTGATGCATCTTTGATGGACTGATATTATATCTCTAACAAAATAGTGTGACGTCATTCAAGTCAGAACAGCTTCGGTAAATTCAATCGACTTCAAGAAGAAAAGCTTAACAAACATCTTTTAAAATGTCCTTTCTAATCAGGCGCTTGTTTAATTATGTTTGCTTTGTTAGGTAATTACAGAAACGTATTTTCAATAGAACTTTATTAGGGCTTCTAAAGTTCGTAGCACAGAGTATTATACCTAAGTTAAGCCTTTTTACGCGCAGTTTTATTGCTGGAGGCTTTTCTTTTGTCTTGTAGTTTCTTATCGGCGTTTTGGCGCTCTTTTCTAAGGCACGTGCCGCCTCGGCGAATTTACCTGCGTCTGCGTCGGTGGCCGCTCTATGGATGAAATCTATTGTTTACGCGCAAAACAGTTTGCGCATTCTGTTTTTGAATTTGTCTCGTAAAATAATAAACCCGCATAGTTACCCTTTCTGAGGACACTTTAATCCGATATGGTAGTAAAATAATTTATGATTATGCTTACTTAGCTAGTTTCTAGAAATTGTTTTGTTTTAATAATGGCTCTGCAGTTGAGTTTGCAATACCTACTGTATTTTTAAAAATAAAGTAGTCAAGTTTTGCACACATAACTATTGTAAAATATTTAAAGAGATAACAGAACAAATAAATTATTATCATTTTTGAATCGTCCTTATGATAGATAAAACTTTATTCACACCAACATGCACACATACAAAATTGAATTCAAATTTTACAATTATATAAATCCTTTAAAAATATAACAAATTATATTTATACAACTATATGATTCTTATATTTCATTACATTGAACAGGAGCATGGCAAGATGCAAATGCCTACACGACTCCATGTTTAGCATAGAAGCATTATTTAGGTATGGTGATACATGCGTACGTGGAGGAATATGGAAGCAAAAGCGGGCACAAGCATTTTGCACACGCTGTATAATTTTCTTTGTTCTGTACAACAAGCGCGGACCATAGACCAAGTTACCATAGTGGAGCCTTGATAGGATCAGCAATTCACAGAGCGCAATTTGGGTCTTTTCAGATAAAAAACTACGAACTTTATACAAAACTTTTAAACGATAAAAGCAGTTTTTTACTAGATTAAGCACATGACTTTCAAAACGCAATCGACTGTCAAATGTTATTCCCAGGTTCCTTGTCTCTTGAACACGTTCAACATTTGTGCCCAGAACTTGAACAACGGGTGGATCACGTAAAATGTTTTCGGTTTGCTTTTTGGTACCTATTAGCATACACTTCGATTTGGACGGATTCAGTACGAGAGCATTGTCTTTAGACCAGGAAGCTATAGAATTCAAATCTTCGTTTAATTTGCTGACCGCCTGAGATATTTTAGCAGGTTTTTCGGAGATATATAGCTGAACATCATCTGCATAGAAGTGAAATTTACAGTTTTTGATTACTTTTGACAGATCTTATGATGTTGGGGTAAAACAATTATGACTTTTCACCGACTTCAAAAAGGAGGTGGTTCTCAATATGTGATTCTTTATTGTCCGATGCAAAATAGTTGCTAAAATGTCTCATACAATTTCTATGAGACCAAATGTCTCATACAATTTTTATCCGGTTTGACCCAGTAGTTTTTATTTTATTAGCATTTTTGTTAACTTGAACGATGTTATTTCAGATTATTGAAAGATTTCTGATCCGATTTCAGTGTTTTTTTTTGTTTGATAGAAGATACTTGACATTTAGTCCCATAAGTTAAATTTAGTTTGACCCAGTAGTTTTTATTTTAAGAGCATTTTTTTTTACATGGACTATCTATATAAATTTCACGATACCTTGTGTGTATGCTTTTTTAGGGGTTTTATGTATGTTTTACAATAAAATGGATAAGATAAAAAATAATAAAAAAATAATAAAAACTGACTTCGAATTGGAAAACGGAACTAAATAGTTAAAAAATAACCGGCCAAGTACGTGTCATGCCACGCGCAGTGTAGGGTTTCGTAGTTGCCCGTCGTTAACACAATATATTTCGGAATGATTCTTTATTTTAAACAAGTACTTCGTCTAAGTCACTTTTAATGTTTCTTTACATTCCTAAGGATAGATAGATAGATAATGCGTTTAATTTTTCTTCAACATACATATACATTTACAGACAGAGTAATACAATAAAAAAAAGATACAAGAAATCAGCTATGAAATATCCCTTATGTATGCTGCAGAAAGCAAAAGGTCAAGGCTCGGCTAAACATTTGCCAGTTTTAAGGCAAAATACCGATTTTCAGCCATCACCTTACGAATTTTTAGGAATTTTTATTCAGTATTTTTTTTTTCTAAAACCCGTTGAACGACTATAACTCTTAAACTAACTGATTTATCTTAACCTACGGAAGAACTACGGAACCCTAAAAATAATATCCGGTGCACATGATGAAATCAGGCAGGTCCTAGCATGATTTGAAAGTCGGGCGGGGTCAAGAGATTAAAACACGTATACCCATTGAAAATGAAAATCTATTCCACGTTTCAATCTTGGCCCCGCTCGACTTTCAATCTTCCCGATTTCGTGGGAACGGTTTTCTTTACTTCTTAGTTCCATTTTCGATTTTAAAGGCCGGTTTTCACATTTTGTTTAAAAACATTATTATCTTATGGCTCGATTACACTTAGTAAGTTATTTAGGAACATTTTAAAAGATATTACTCGAATTCGGGCACCCGAAGCAATATTTACACTGGAATACGAGCTGGAAGACTGTGTCGGATAACTAAAACGAAAACTACCCGAATACGGGGTTTACCAGAATTTCATAGGCAATCGTATTCCGGTTAACGGCCAATGTAATTGAGCCATTAGAAAGTTTGAATTTTGATTTTTTATAAATATTTTGCGATCCGCCCCGGCTTTGCACGAGTGAACTTTATTTAAGCGAGATTTCAATTTAAGTTACTTAGGGATAGTAATGGTAGCTTTCTAATCATGAAAGAATTCTTGAAATCGGTCAAGTGGTTTATGATTATCCCTTAAAAACATACAAATCTTTCCTGTAAGTATATAATATTAGTATAAATTTTATTGCGCAGTAGCAATACTTTCCAAAGAAATGTTGTGAATTCTGACTATAGGCATTGATTTACCTACTCAAATATAAAGTTTATCACACCAAAAAAAAGGTCAAACATTCAATAACGAAATCATGACTAAAATATTTTTACATTTTTTCCCTAACATGGTTTTACACGGTGTATTTTTTTGTTATGAGTAGGTACAACTCTAACGGTCTTCCTACAGAAAAGTTAGACACTGTTTTAAGCAATGTTTAGGCAAGTTTTGTATGACATTTTCCCTTAAACTCATGTTCAACTTTTTGTGGTAATAAGGTAAATATCTATTAATAGAAAAGATCTTTGACGGACATAATCGTGATGCAGCATACAATTGATACAATATACCTGACAGTTATATTATAACCAACCATTATACCTTAGAAATGGTTCCCAAAATCCATCTCAATTGAGTGTGTTACATCAAAAGCGTCTTTTATCCTTGACAGAAGTACGGTGGACCACCGTGACATCATTATTGGTCACAGTAAAGAGTTGCTGAGTCCGGAAGTTCCTGGACATCTCACAATGCAACAAATAGATTCATCAGCGACAGTTGCGTCGTTAATAACGCATCGTGGACTCACCTCAATGGTACCAATGGACATTCGGATCATTTACTATCCAAGCGCATCCATGCGAAAGTTTCTCATATCAAAAGAGATAGGAAATGAACTATTTTTGACGTAGGTAAGTAAGTAATTTAATTATTTGAACGTTTCCGAGAACCAAAAGTGAACCTAAGATATCATTTGCCAAATGCTTTATTATAGCAATATTCTTCTAACCTCAGAGTAAAAAACATTCAGTTTAACCTACTGAAATAGAAAATCGGTTTCGATTTCCGAATCAGGGTTTGTTAAAAACTTTCTTTAAAATCAAAAGTATTAGAAAGAGGGCCTTAAAGGAAAGCGCAGAAAATGAGTTATTACTCATAAAAAAAACTCTAAAACTTATAAAATCCGAATAAGTATGATTAAATTGGATTAATAGAAAAGATAAATGCACGAAAAACTTTAAGAAATAGTTAAGTACCCTAATACTGTTATTGATGTTTAGGGGAATTCATGAAAACGGCAAACAACTCAATTTCATTTTCTATGATAGGTGGTTATTTATTTTATGTCCTCCAAAACAGCATTTTTATGGCAACATTATTAAGAGTTACATTTGCGCTTAGAATAAATAAACATTAAGTAAAAAGGAAATTGTTGTGCTAATTTTTATTCTTTTAAGCATTAAAATGTTATCGTAAAAAGTACCTAATCTTAATTTTTGCCAGTGTTTATGCTTGTCGAAAAACAAAGTCATTAGACATACAAAAGATAGGTAGGGTACTTAGATAAACATCAAACTTATGTAATTAACAGGGTACAATAGCAACAAAACATGCAAGTCGGGTACAAAAAGAAATGGATTGACTGTTCTTAATCAGTGATCGATTCCATGTTGGCAAGGCGGGTGTGAAGTTAGACATTCGAAAATTTCAATGTTGTGTTCCAAAAAAGTACGTTTAGTGGAAATCATTTGACTGAAATGTTAAAAGAATCACATAAAATTTCATAATTACTTAAAATGTGGTCAACAGTGTCGTGACGCTATCGTATTCGATTCCCGTTATTTCGGTGCAGGTAGGATTTTAACCCTTTTGGGAACCCTCACAAGCACGGCGGGGGTACTCCCACCCCTAGACTCCGCCCCCAACTGCAAAAGGGGCGCTTGCTCAAGTGATCGAGACTATAGTCATTGACAATCTTTCGACGAACACGGACACACGCAAATTCGAAGCAGCCATGGCTCTCTGGACGCCCTACGCTGAAGATTCCGCTTTGGACTTAACGAAGACTGCAGTGAAAGAAGAACGGGAAAACAATATTTCACCGCACAGCCCCGAGCTCTCTTATGTTTACTCTCACTCGTGTCAACCAGTTTATGCGGCTTACACGAATTATCCGTACAGCGGTCTCTCCATGCCATCGGTTCAAATGTCTCCGATTTCTGGAGGCAGCACATGTTCTGGATATGATGCACAGCCTATAAGCCCGGTCTACGCACCGAGATCTACGACGTTGTCGCCTCCGGATTCACCACCATCGGCAGTGCCTACGACAGCGTCTTGTTTAGACGTAGATGCTCTCTCAGATGACCCTGACTTTCAAGCGTTCGAGAAAAATGCCCTTAGGGCAATGGCTGAGAAGAACGGCGGGACACTCTTGGGTAACAATCCGAGGATGCGTCGGGCCGTCCGTTCCACAAACCAGGATGCGGCGAACGATGCTTACAGGAAGCAGAGGGAGCGGAACAACTTTGCCGCAAAGCAGAGCCGGGATCGCAGGAAGCTGAGAGAGATCCATCTCGCCCTGAAAGTTTCATACTTGAAGAATGAAGTCGCGAATTTAAAAGCGAAACTCGCATCTAAAGTATGCAGTCGGTGTCAACAAATGTGCGTATGTTGACGTCCATTACTAGATTTGTTAAGAACTTTTACGTTAATGTTTTTGTGCAATTTCTTAGTTTTAAGTTTTAACTTTTAAGACAATTTCATTTATATAATAAGTTTTGTAATAATATTTAAATTGTAATTTGTACCGCTATTTTGACTGAAGTCTGAAATTATTAATGTAAAGGTATTATAATTTGTGCAATTTATTTGTTTAGATAAGTATGAAAGTTTTAAAACAATGGTTCCTATTATTAATAGGTTGGTATATTTAATGTACTTAAACAGTGTACATAAATTTCTAGTCTATGCTTGTATAATGATGTGAGTAATAAATTAAATGTACATGAAAATATAAACATCTTATTTTTCCACAACACCATTTAAGAAACCATTTCACTGAAATCTTTTGAGCTACTTTTATAGTGATAAATAAATATCCAATATACCTACTTACCGAACTCAATCGGCCGTACTACAAAACGTAGACTAAAGCTGAACATGGATTAAAACTGATGCTGTCATTTTTGTTTGCTAAAAAGAAGACAAATAAGTACAACATAAAGTTTAAACCAAGACTAGGTGCTCGCGTTTTGTAGTAAGGGGGAATAGGTTTTTGTTGAATTATCCAATAGTTATGTTTATAAGCATTTATGAGTTTAAATAGGATATTTACCACTTCACTTCACCTAGTGTTACCATCCGTCCGGATTTGTCCGGACATGCCCGGACTTTTTGCCTTTTGTCCGGACTTTGTCCTGCTTTTTAATTTGTCCGGATTTATTTATTTAGATGGAATATGAGTAAAATTACTTATTAAGTTATATCAAATAAGTCAAATAACCTTTATTAAGTTCTCATTAATTTAATACAAAATATAAATCATCAAAAAATATTAATAATCAACAAAAAATCAACAACGAGACCCTGCTACCACGCGTATAATATCACTGTGATATTACTGTGACATTATCGCGTATAATATCAAGTGGATGATATTTGCATTTTGTGACTAAAATGTCCGGACTTTTATCGAAATGTCCGGCTTTTTGTCAGGACTTTTCAAATTTTTAAATAGTAACCCTACTACACCAAAACAAAAAATGGTTAGTATACCCATATTTAGAATGTAATATGTAATGCATTTTACTTTTGTTACTTTCATAAGTGCCAAGTTAAATAAAATGCAATAATTTCATTTTATATTTGCAAAGCATTTGTATTGTTAAATTAGCTAAAAGTTACTTAGTTTAACATTATATGAAGGGTTACTATGCCGCATTTGAAGTTGCCCTATTTTATAATTTCATTTCGCAGAAATTATTTTTATAAGTAAATAATTTAAATATAGCCTGGGCATTTATTTTATTTACCTACACCGATGTAATTCATGATTCGTTATCACGCTAATATTATAAAGGCGAAAGTTTGAGAGTGTGTTTGTTACTTCTTCACGCCTAAACAACTGAAGCTATTTTGATAAATTTTGGTATGGAGTTAGCTGACACCCTGGCCTAAAATATAGGTGACGTTTTACTACGGGAAAATATCCCTAATAAACCGCGGGTAACACCGCGGGGCACAGCTAGTAACCAATAATTTAGATTTTATTTACTTAAATAAAACAAACTACAATGGTTTAAATGCGTTATCTATTTGTCCCTTGACGTTAATTTGACTTGAGTTACTTCTTTGGTAAGATCAGAAATATGTAAGTTAAGTTAAATCGTGCTTCAATGGTATCTATCACATGAGTCCTTCAAGATAACAATAAAAGTGAATAAATGAGCATTTATATTTGTGATATTGTGTTTCAGTAACAAGAACTAAAAAAACAAAACCACTGAAACACCATTGATACACAATTATTACTTTAACTTAGCAGAATCGAAACCCAGGCTATCCAGATTTATTTACAATCACGTCCAGTCTTTACAGAAGACTGATGTGTTATCGACTGTAAGTTACAGTTACTCTGTAACTATGTGATTACAGGTTTCGGTTAAATCCATTATATTAAGTACAAATGCGAAAGTGTGTGTGCCTGATAACTCTAAACGCTTACAGCGCTGAAACGATTCAGATGAAATTTGTTATAAACATTGTCCCGAGAAAGGTAATAGAATAGTTTTTATTCCAGGAATCATCGACAAAGTTTGTATGGGAAACCGATAGGTACTTCCACGAAGAAAAAGTTGAGGGCTAGTGTTGTATAAATCCATTTCTTTAAATCACAAAATGAGTAGTAAAGACACTTGACTACAATGGATAGAGTTTGCAGTTTGTTCCTTTTAGTGGGAGTTGCATCATAGAGCCAGTTAAAGTTAAATTTTACTATAACTTAAACCCACAGTTATTGGTCGATTCTGGCATGATTCTCTAAACTTAAAACTAAATTTAACATCAGTCTCCCCCTTTCTTTCTGTATAGAGAATGACAAGGATACACAGTTGTCAAATTTAAGTTTAGAGAAGTATGGCAGAATCGACACCATTGTTACTATTAAACTATGACCTAATTTGGACTATCGTTAAATGGCTGTCACCCATTTTTTACATAAACGGTAATTTAACGGAACAGTTAAAAAGTTAGTTAGTTTTCATTCGCTGATAAAGGGAGAAAACTATGTACTTACAAAATAAAAATTAAGTACCGAGGTGGTATCGAAACATTTTTTCGATATAAGTAACAGTAAACTTAAGAATAATCAGTTCCCTGCCTTTGGTCTACGTTCTTAACCGCTTTTCTATCACATTTACCGAAAGAAGAATTTCCCTAATTGGTTAAGAAAAGTAACAAAAAAAATGTGAAAAAAAATCATGTCCGCGGTTGTTTTTCTCGATTAAGTAGGTACTCGTGTAACCATTTATATTAAAAAAAACTTATTTCATAATCAGTGTGGAAAATGTGAATAAAATTTCTTCTTTCCAAGAAAAATTTAAAAGGAATGTTCACGCTCATCTGTTGCAAAACTTAGATGAAGTGTCATTTTATTAATCATCGTCTTGTGTATATATGTGTATACTGTATATATTTAAATATTAGTGTGTTTTGTTTGTATGTATTATATTATTTTTATAGTATGTATTTATATATATATATCTATGTTAATTTGTATATATATTCGTATTTAGCTTTATACCGCCGTTCGTGTTTTTCATTTTTCCCAAAGGTTGACTGGGAGAGAATGCTTTTAGCATTAAGGCCGCCTTTTGCACCAATGTTATATATTTATATTTTGGTCAATAAAGTTTAAAAATAAATAAATAAAAAAGGGGACTAAACTTAGCCCTCAGAATTATGTTATAGAAGTGATACAAGATTTATCAGATATTTAAATTAAAATTAAACGTATTTCTCTTCATATCTGCAAGAGACGTAGAACCGTTATATGGAAGAAAAACGCAGGTGCTAAACATCACATTGAAGCGCTACGGATTATCCAAATGAAGAAGCTACAACCTTCCACCAGCTTTAGATAACGCTATCCTAAACCAAAATTCGTTTTAACTCAAACAATTCTGATCTCTAATATCATAACAATAACGTCTAAGCAGTCAATAACACACGTTTTAAAAGCAAACAAATGAAAATCATCCTTAAGGATGAAAAAATAAGGTCTAACAGAGGTGCAAAGTTTGGTAAAATTTGCTCACCGCAAACCGAAAAGAACAATTACAGTTAGGCGTGTATTTGCGAGTGCTATGGGAAATAAAAGTGTTAACAATTGCAGCATTTGGTAAGGCGTTTCTGCTATAGGCCAGCGGGTTTATACATCAATTGTGTCAATTGTAATGATTGTGAAGGAGTTGCGATTAGATGCGCGCGCGCACAACAGAGGCGTTTCCCTGAATAGATAGCGGGACGTGTGCATGTGAACGGGTTTGATTGACGGCTCACGCTGCGCCGGTTTGAGGGAACGGGGCAGGCAGTGTGACCGCATATGAAAAAATGATAGAAATATCTTAATTATATTCGGATGAGTAAGTTCGCCGTACCTACCGCAATATTCATTTTCCGGATAAATATAAAATTAATGTGTTAATAAGAGATAGTATTATGAATTACAAAGATTCACAGATCTACTGATTTCCATATCACCAGGTTATATAAAAAGCACTTTTTTACAAAAATAAAACCCCTTCGGCTACGAAACCTTCAATTGTATTCAAACCTTTGTATTCAAACTTAATGGCGGCTGTGAAGTTAGCGCAAGTCCTGATACAATAAAAAAAAATTAGGTTGATGTAGGTGCGCGCGGAAATGTACTTAACTGAAACTTGAGCATTGTTGCACTCGCTGTTATCATCACTGTCACCATTAATTTTGAGTCGCATAAGGTCATCTGAGCTATAGGCCGTACAGAATGAATGGAGTCAGAGTTGGCACAGTACGAGCAAAACTCTTGTGTCGCAAGGTTCTAGCGAATCTCTTTAAGGTTTAAACAGGATTAAGAAGCTTTTTAACTTCCGAACTTAGGTGCAAGTAGGCCTAACCACTTAAATCCAAATTATTCTCTAAACTTAGGAAGAATAGAATAAAATAATTAGAATTTAGTTTTCATTTCAATATCAGTCTTTACTTTTCATACTGTATAGAGAATGAAAAGGAGAGACTGATATTAATTTATTAAATTTAAAGCCATAATCGACACCAGTAACTCCTCAGCAACAAAAAACTGACCTACCTTAAAACATTACTTCATGTAAGTAGGTAATATCTCCACAAGTTCAAAAGTACCTAATCTAACTTACAACATTTCGGAAGTTGCAAAAGTTATTTGGGTAACATCTAAAATAACAAATGCAACGTGCTCCAACATGCTGGAATATTAAGAAATATCACGTACCTACGTAACAGCCTTCATAACATATACCGCCGACTGACTGTTGTCCGGCGCTGTTATTGTTTGGGATAATCGGTGACCGACGGCGACGGACGCAGAGTATCCCGTGGGACAGTGAGGACTTTGCATCTGTCATAGCGCAAGCATATTTTGCGTGGTACTTGATAAAA